GGGCCGGGGGTGGTCGGCCAGGGCCGGAGCCGACCCAGGCTGGAGCCGCTCGGGGGCCAGCCTGGGCCGCGCCTCCTCCCCCCCCCACACCACCCTTACCTGCTTCAGGCTTCCCGCGAATCAAATTTTCGCGGGAAGCAGGGGAGGGGGCAGAGACTTTGGAGAAGGGGCGGAGTTGGGGCGTGGGCGTGGGCTGGGCCGGGGCCCCGTGGAGTGTCCTCCTTTTGGAGGCCCAAAATATGGTAACCCTAACACCACCTCCTATGCATTTACTGCCCTTCTCCCGCCAACAGGACCCCACCAGCAACTCCCCGATAATCCCTACCTGAGCAAGCTCCACGGCAGCCATTTCCCTTCCCTGGTCCCTGGAAGGATGGGATGTGATGCTGCGGCCTGTTAGGGCAAGAAGGGGATGTGTCAGAACAGGACAGTCACGTCACATCACAATTCCCCCCGGGCTCTTTCCCCGCAGACTAACGTTCTCTACTCTATCATGCAAATAAGAGAAATATTCAAAACACAAGGGGGGGGGGCTTTAACTACCAAGACACCGTTTAGAAAAGAAATTTAAACAAACACAAAGTGTCCAACAAGTTCTTGGAATGTGTTGGGGACACCTGTTTGCGTCAGAAGATGGAAGTAGTAACTGGGGGAGTGGGAGGGGGCATTTTAGGATGGATTCTGACTAACAGGAGGGAAATAGTTAGGAAACGGAAGGTGGAAAGCAATATAGATGAAATTGTTCATGAAATGATGATTTTGTGATTCTAAGAGAAGGAAGGTGTTAGAGAAGGAAAATAAGGACAACGGACTTTGAAAAGGCAGACTTCAACGAACTCTGAAAACTGGTATGTGAGTGTGACATTTCCCTCAATATTCTTTATGAAAATATGCTTATGAAATGAATATGAGATAACTGAGATGTACTTAGTATCAGGGGGCAGCCGTGTTAGTCTGTATCTACAAAAACAACAAGGAGTCTGGTGGCACCTTAAAGACTAACAGATTTATTTGGGCATAAGCTTTCGTGGGTAAAAACCTCACTTCTTCGGATGCACGAAAGCTTATGCCCAAATAAATCTGTTAAGACTTTAAGGTGCCACCAGACTCCTTGTTGTTTTTGAGATGTACTTAGTGCAAGATGGGTCTTGTAAGAAAATGAGTCATTGGAAAGGTTATAATTTACTGACTGTGATTATCCAATTTGTGTGCACGTATCATTTCTGTATCTGAAGCTGGGAATATTGACAATGTATCTGTATTTCAACTATGCTCCTTTGGGTGATGCCCACTGCTAACACTTCAGTTACAACAACGGAAAAGCCAGACAGGGCGGATGGGCCATCAGCAAGGACTATGGACTGTGAAAAGGCTCCATACTGCTACTGATTCCTGGACACTGTGATACTACAGAGTCAGGTGATCTTGTCATCAGATACTCAACATTACCTGGGACTTCTTGTAACTTTCCACTGGAAGGGAAGGGGAAGCAAGTTTGGGAAACAAAGGATTCCCACCTTATGTAAATCCTTTTTAAAGCTGGGGAGGTAGGCAAATAAAACGACTCCTCTGCATGGCCTGTCTGCCCAAGAAGAAAGACTGCTAAAGCCACCTGAAGGGAAGGCGGGGGGGGGGAGGGGGGAGGGGCGGGGATACCCACTCTGACCCCCAGGTCCCTTTCCACAGTACTCCTACCTAGGCAGTCATTTCCCATTTTGTATGTGTGCAATTATTCCTTCCTAAGTGGAGTACTTTGCATTTGTCCTTATTAAATTTCATCCTATTTACTTCAGACCATTTTGTCCAGATCATTTTGAATTTTAATCCTATCGTCCAAAGCACTTGCAACCACTCCCAGCTTGGTGTCGTCTGCAAACTTGATAAGTGTATTCGCTATGCCGTTATCTAAATCATTGATGAAGATATTGAACAGAACCAGACTGAGAACTGATCCTGGGGGGGACCCTGTGACGCAGCAGGGAGTGGGGAATATTGACCTGGGAATGTTGCAGGGGAGTTTTACTGGGACTGTCCTCACTGGGGATGGAAGACTTCCCTTGAGGGAAGATACCTGAGCATGTAACATGAGAGCCCAGGAGGGGGGTTGGGGCCAGATGACACCTTCTGTCTGGGAAACTGGACAAAGGCTGAAGGAGGAGGAGCTGGGGGATGTTGGGTGAGACGGCTGGAGGGGTTTTCAGTTTGGAGTTGGCTGGGAAAGAGCAGGGAGCCCCCAAGGAGGACCTGACTGAGGGGTCCTGTTGTCTGTACCTACAAGCTCGGTTCTGGACTGTGTTCCTGTCGTCAAATGAACCTTCTGTTTTACTGACTGGCTGAGACTCACGGTGAATCCCAGGAAGTGGGGGTGCAGGGCCCTGACTCCCCCACCCTACGTGACAGACCCCACTTGATATGCCCTTTCAGCTAGACTGTGAACCACTGAAAACTACTCTTTGGGAACAGTTTTCCAACCAGCTGTGCACCCACTTAATGGTAGTTCCATCTCAGTTGTATTTCTCTAGCTTGTATATGAGAAGGTCATTCCAGACAGTATCAAAAGCCTTACTAAAGTCACGATATACCATGTCTACTGCTTCCCCTCTATCCACAAGCTTGTTACCCTGTCAAAAAAAAGCTATTAGGGTGGTTTGACACGATTTGTTCTTGACAAATCCATGCTGTTACTTATCACCTTATTATCATCTAGGTGTTTGCTAATGGATTGCTAAATTATTTCCTCCATTATCATTCCGGGGAATTAAAATAAGCTGACTGGTCTGTAATTCCCCGGGTTGTCCTTACTCCCCTTTTTATAGCTGGGCACTATATTTGCCTTTTCCAGTCCCCTGGAATCTCTCTTCCATGACTTTTTGAAGATAATCGCTAATGGCTCAGATATCTCCTCAGCATTCTAGGGTGCATTTCATCAGGCCCTGGTGACTTGAAGACATCTAACCTAAATAATTTTTAACTTGTTCTTTCCCTATTTTAGCCTCTGATCCTACCTCATTTTCATTGGCATTCATTAAGTTAGATGTCCAATTGCTACTAAAATTTTGGATGAAAACTGAAACATAAGTCATTTAGCACTTTTGCCATTTCCACATTTTCTGTTGTTGTTTTCCCCACGATATTGAGTATCGTGAGCACGTGGGGACAAAATCAGAAAGACAAACTCACAAAATAAGTTACATCTAGCAAGGGACATAGAAGGCAATAAGTAGGGTACTACTTAAATCATGGAGGGGAGGGGGAAATCATACAATTTTCAAGTATTGTTCATGGCATAAATAGTGAACTTCATGGACGTGTTATACACCCACAAAACGTAGTATTTACGTAGTGAGTAACCCACGAAAAAGTGTGATTTCTCCACAGCGTTTCTCAAACTAGGGTTCCAGACCCA